TTGCTTAAGAAAGCACCTGAGAATAATTCTATGGCCAAAAGGGCCAAAGACACTTTAGGTCTTTCACTTCCCCAATAAAGCTAATTTACAGTCAAATGAGCCTTGAATTTCACTTCCTTCCAACTACAGGAACTGCTTTTGTTCCTTCACAATGTCATTTTAACTGATCAAAATGGTTCTACTGCATGACAGGCAGCTTTTGTATATTATTTAAGAAGGTTGCTATGTAGACTCCCTTATCTGGTTCCTGCTTGTCACAGATGGATTGGAAAACACTGCATTAGCTTTTATTGCACACACCTGATGTATAAGATTAAACTAAGACAAGACAAGGCTCTGATGACTCCTCAGAAATCAATTAATTGCATCTTATCTCCAAGGAAAGCCTCATGTTATTTAAGCAAACAAGTATTTGATTACTGCAGAGACTTAGGACTTTGTCACACTCTAACCACTGCCTTATGGAACTACAGGGTAGAGCTCCTTGTACAAGAGGCCAAGCTCACTTTTAGGTACTGAGAGGGAAGAAGTACTGCCTAACACCCTTCCACAGTCTTACAGCATTAGCAGGTGTCACCTGCTTACCATGTAACCCTGTGTCAGTGGGCAGCATTAAAGCTCAAGGTAAGAAGTAGAATAAACACATCACAGAGAATCCGACAATCCATGCTCAGTAATCAAGAGAATGCTACTGGCCTCAAACCACAGGCAGCTTAAGTGAGCCGATATAAACTGCATTACAGACTAAACCCCCTGAAGGAGTCTGCTCTATTCATCTTCACTGTATTTTGAAATGTACCATCATATTGTTAAAGCCTCATTTACCCTCAGACTCCAACCTCTCCATCCCCACACTGTCACTGAGCTCAGGTGTACATATCAGAGGAGCAGCCCAAAGTCCAAGCACATCACAGCTGTTTGCTCAGTTGAGTAAGGCGGGGAGCATGCTCCACACCAGACTAGCTGCACAGCAGGGAAAGACCATCTATCACCAAAGTATGAGTTCAGACAGCTGAGAGAACTTTAATCAAGACCAGTCCAGTTCAAGCAGTCTGAAAACACCCATATTTGAACATGATCAAAAGCTGAGGTGCCTTCACTGAGGTCTTCAAACACCTTATTTTTTTTTTCCACCTGACAAGCAGCTCTGCTCCACAGCAATACAGAAGACTTGCAGAGTCATTCTCTCAGTCCAACTGTAACAGATAGAAGGCTCACACTAGAGAAGTCTAAATCACATAGTTACATTAAAAATGAAGCAACAGCATTTCAGGACAAAAGAAACAAATACAAAGAGACAGGACCTGACCAACATTCAGCTACTACTACTGCAGAATACTCAAGTTTTTATCAGAGCACTGATTAAAACAGAGGGTTTGGAGCACTACAGCAGTCACCAGCAACTCAAAACTTTGAAGAGCTACATTGCCCACTCTCCTGCTGAATCTGAGTGGGAGGATAGGGATATTACAGGCACATGTCTTAGGATGCTTTCTCCTTACCTTTTACAAGGATGTTCACCATAAATGGCTGTGCATCTGCTTATTTCACCTAGTACAGTCTTTCATATTCACACATGCCTAACCAACACTTCACATAACTGAGTGTTCTAGTTAAGGGACAGCCAGGCTTGAACACCTTCAGCATAATCTTTCTGGAACATGGATCTCTGTGCAAAAGCATCTTTGAAGATGTAAGTAGGTTTAGAGGCAGAACAAGCTGTTGAACAGTGAACACCTCAGTAGCAGCTAGTTATCTGTCTTAGTTGACCCTTTCCATGAGGAGCCCATATTACACTGTTTGAGTACTTGATGTCCTGAATAGGGCTGCAGCTCAATTATTAGCAACTGGTACATTAGAAGTTTCAGAAGGGCTCAGAGTTTGCAGGAGCTCAGTCCATATTAGTAGAGGAAGTTGTCACTGCCATTTTAGTCAGACTGAACCCATGATGGTAAGAAACTCAAGTATTTCTCAACAGTAAAGTACTAGGCAACTGCACTTCTTGGTCAATCTAGAGATACAGCTAAAAGTTTCCATACATTACAAACCATGACACTTCCTTCCACTGCCATTACCTCTGACACTACACAGGCACAAAAATGTTTCAAGCACCTGGTTTGTACAGAACTGCTTTGCAAAGCATTTTGAATTACTGTTGCCTGATGCTGTCAGAGACAACCTTTATTATTAAGTCAACTGATATAGCTGGAGAAAAGACAAGCCCTTCGGCACACAAGCCATCCTAGAGCTAAAGGAGGCCAAGATAGCTGCCTGACTAAGTTAGCATCATTGCCACCCACATATGTTTGGCAAGCGGGACTTTGCTTATCCGTAAGAAGGACAGACTGCCCTTGCACATTGAAATTAAACGAACCGTTTCCTACTGAACTCAGCCAGCTGAGTTTGATCAGATTTTTTTAAACTGCATATAAGCTTAATCTTTGCAAGCTATTTAGGCTGAGGAAGGGTAAAACACATGCACGGAAGTTCAACTGATCTATAGTACACATTAAGAATAGCAATTCAGAGCTATAACACATATGAAATATGATCTATCAGAGAAACTCAAAAGCGTAGATGAAGACTCCAATGTACTAACAGAACTATGATGATTTAGGCTTTTGCTGAAAAGTCCAAAACACCAGTTTCGTGCTGGTGTCTGCACCTTTCAGCAAGAATTACAAGCACAAAGACCCCAGCACTTACAGCCCTACTAGAGACTTTACTACATCCCGTTTAACTTAATCCAAGTTCTGGCACTGCTAGAGCTGGCAGCATAAACATAAGGATGAAGAGACCAGAGATACAAAGCAAGAAGGGGGAGTAACCAGGCAATGCAAATCCAGCAGCACCCAGGTCACTTCCATTATGGAATGAGGTTGAATTACTGCTACAGGTTTGAATCCCTGCTCTAAAGCCACCATTTTCTATAGTACAAATTACATCTAAAAGTGCAGTTGGAACTTAGCAGATCTGGATAACCTCTCCATACTCCTGTGTCAAGGACAAATGTTAATCTGCCATCTTTCCTTCCCAATACCACATCCCAGAACAGTGACTATTTCAGCACATTAATCTCTGGGTTTTCACTTGAAAACTTTAATAATGCAACTTTATGAAACACTAAGAGCCTAAGCTGCTATTCCTTCCCTGAATAGAAAAAAATAGCTTTTACAAGAAGAGTATTAACTTTTAAGTTTTAGCTTCAGGAACAGTTTTGCAAGATGGAAAGTTTTATCCCCAACTTCTACATCTTTTCCACCCCTAGAAAAGACAGTCTGGCACAATCTTTGGTCAGCCTCATCTTCTATGCAGCTAGTAACTGTTCTACTCAGTAACACAAAGGACCTCCCATGTAAAAGCTGAAATACAACTATTTTTAAGAATAAGGCAGGAGAATAGAATAACTCAAACATTAGTTCTTAGTTCCTTTTAAAACATCCTTCCTGTTTTTACTCTTGACTTTGTGACTGCAGTAAATGATCATTAGAATAACAAGAAAGGCTGCATGGTCACTGATCCAAGAAGAGACAAGAGACATTATTCAAACTTCTCTTGCAATACAAGAACTAAGCAAGCATCTAAGAAAGAAAGTGAAGTAGACAAACCAAGAAAATATAACAACAGAACAATTAAAGACTAGTTGTCAGTAACAAAACTCCCTGCACAGGGGATAAACATTATTGAAGGAGGCCTGAAAATGAGGTATCATGAATGTAAACGGCTGAACTGTGTATGTTCTACTAAGACCATATCAGTTAGCAATAGAATGTGTCATCCTAAGCATTATTATGAACGTGGCTGAGCACAATAATCATCGATAAACAAGGCATGTAAGATGAACACATCATACCAGTTAGCTGATTAATAATCCACAAACATTGGTTACAGGAGGCACCAGTGCTGTGGAAGCCAAACAGCAACCTGTAAGAGGCAGACAGGAATCTTTAGTACTTACCACTCCAGTGACAACTGTCCATCAACAATAAGAGGAAGCCGTTATGAATTCTCTGAGAACCGCACAAGAACACTGATACAGAATGCAATCCCTCCAGCCATAACTGTGGGAATAAAGCTGCTAACATACCTCTTTTTAAAAGTTAGGGTCGGGTGAGGGATTTCACTAACTGTAATACCTCAACTGTGACAGATATATCTACCCACCTGTGCTGGAGTAAATCACAAGTTACATCATGAAGTTGGAGTGGACAGAGTCCTGTCACACAGGCTAACAAGCAGATACATAACACACATCAATAAAAGGAAGTCTAAAGTTGTTGCAAAACACTAGCAGCAGTGTCAGGACCAAGGAGCACGAGTAACAGAAGGGCCTCATTTAAGGGGAAGGTGTGACCTGACAGACATCAGCCAGACCTCACCTGGCTCTAACCCACACACCTATCTCCCCTCGGACCCCGCACCACACTCAGCTCCCAAGCAGCTTACAATCGTTTCCCACCTCAGCTTTTGCTCCCTGCGAGCACAGGCTGCTCACACCACCACTCTTCTTGCCCTCCACAATCTCACACCTCCACGAAGCGGCGGGGAAGGCCGCCAGCACCCCGCCAGCTGCAGAGACCTCCCAACCCCACCCCGGCAAGGGCCGAGGCACGGGGAGGGGACCGGACTGCAGGTCGCCGCAGCCAGGCCAGGCCGAACCCCACCGCAGGGCTACCCCCGCCTCCACCCCAGGAAATACCACACAGAAGGCAAGCCTGCTGCAGAAAACAAGCAGAAACAAGGCGGCTGAGCAGGCGCAGGCACGGGAAGCGAGAGGAGAGCGCACCGCCGACTGACTGACTGACCGACCGACCGCCCCCTGGCAGACCCGGCCGCCGGGCAGCGGACGGACGGACGGACGGACGGACGGACGGCCAGCGGACGCCCTGCACCACCCCAGGCCCCGTACGGCTGAGAGGCAGTGAAGGAGGGAAACTGGCCCGGCCGCTGCCCCTCAGCCCTGCGGGGAAGGGGCTCCCGGAGCGCCGCGGCCGCCTCACCTGCGGGCCCAGCCGGAACGAGCCACCACCGGCTGCTCCCA